ATACCGTCATGGCGGCTCATCTCTGATTCCAGCAAACAAAAGAAAGGAAACAGTGGGGACGCACGTTCTAACCTAACCTAACCTATTCTAATAATTTGGTTGGTAATAATTATGGTAATTTATAGCCCGAAATTCCATAGGTGGTTATCTATATAATAATTTCTCTAATTGTATTAATATTTTAAATCGTTTGATTTCTTGTATGTTTTTTAATTGGTTGATGATTGATTCTATCAACTAATTTGTTGATTGTTTGATTGTATTAACTTGATTCTTTAGAACTTATTCTTGATTTGATTGTATTAACTTGATATCGAAAATTAAATAAAGAACATTATGTTAATTTAAGCATACAGAAACGCTGTTGTTCCAGCAAATATCTTATTTTCACTTTACTGAGTGCCTAGTAGGTAATGTGCAGATTACCTAGATACTCTGCACATTATCTAGGTAATTTGAGAAATGGAACAATTTTCAAAACTTTAACGGATCACCCTAGTTAATCTGCAGATTAGCTAGGTAATGTACACATTAATGACTTTCGAGTTTTAGCGGTAATATATGTATAGATGTTATTTTTATTACATAATAATGATGATTTTAAAACATTTATAAGTAATTATTTATTTGTTTTACTAAGTTAAAAATTTTTAATACGTTTAATAAATCTTTTAAAAAATGAAATATAGTAGTAAAAAATATAAATTTTTATACATGTTATTATTTTTATTTATCAATAATTTAAAAGTAACAGAAATGTTAAATTCATTTAAGAATATTGTGAAAAGAGGTCTAGTCAATTGGTGTAAATTTTCTATTAATTGGCTATTCTTCAATCTTGTTTTTGTAGTTGCTCTCTGGTGACTAATTTAAATTTTATTCAGTTGTAGGATTCTGACTAAAGAACTCTAAAAAATAATTCTGGGAGTTTTTGAAAACTATAAAAATTGAAATAAATGACGATTAAGTTCTTAAAAATAAGTAAAATATTTTTCAAAATGAAAAATATAAAATAAATATAAAAAACAGGCATTATTCAATTCATTACATTTTATATATAATTAGATGGTATAATTAATAAAATGTTAAATATTTTTATATTGAATAAAATTGTTAATCAAATCTTCAGTTTACCTTGCAGAATAAAGGTATCATTATAATATATTAGCCAATCATTAATAAAATATATTTGTTATTGAAAGTTAAAAGCATAGACAACTTGTATATGATGTATTGGAGTCCTGGATGTATGTGATTGCATGTGTGTATTTTGCCCATTGCCATATTTGTGGTGTTTCCATTCCATTATAACATCACCTGATACATGACAGAGTACTCAAAGTTTAATAGGAAGGCATAAACTCTGAGACACAGTCAGCTGGGCAATTGAGTGGGCCCAACTGTTGCATATTCCCCTTTTGAGTAGTTCACCTAATGAAGAAATTGGTGCAAGTAAATTTTAAAACAGAATGAAACAAATTTGACAATTACAAAGAAAAAATTACCACACTGCATTTTGAAGTGATTCTGTGCAGTAATCAATAAAACTATCATAAAACATACATTTTTAGTCAGTATAACCTAGAGTTGTAATTTGTTTTAATGCACTTAAAGTTCTCTTGCTAGAAAAGGTAATTTCTTTACTAGAATGTTTGGATCAACCCAGCCACTTGTCACAAAATTGTGAGTTTCAAATGATTTGCATGCTTTCTTGTGGTTAAGAGTTAAAAATTGGAGTTATTAAGACAAGATGTTGTCATATTCTATCTTTGAACATGAAGTACAATCCTCTATGAATGAATTTGAGTCTTCATATGGATCAACTCTCTCACACATTACAATTTTACTTTTGTACCAGTCAGCATCTTGACCAGTAAACATTTTCATAATCTGGTAAAAATGCATGTTTTGCCATCTTCTACACATGTTAAATGTTCAGATGCAAGCCAAACTATATACACCAACATAAACAGCACAGCTTAAATATGGCACAGGAGGTGAAGTGATGATTTGGTCACATGAGATGATGATCATGCAAGTTCTCTATGTAGTATATTTAGAGAAGGTAGTTAATAGTTAAATGCATTATTTATATAATTTCAATTTTTGTAGTTACAGTATTTTAAAAGTATATTTTCTCATTATTATACTTTTTTGTTTACTTAATTATATTTTCTGTAAAAAGATTACAGTGTAAACTATTTGAATAGTACTAACTTCATTCTAATTTTGGTTTAAACAACAAAATTAGACCTTTTAGAGATGGTTCTAGTGAGGTAAATATTTTTGTTGGAATTGAACCATGGATTTAAAACATTAGGAAATATTTTACAGCTCTAACTCCAACTTTTTCCTTTTACATTAATACATTTCATCCCAATTGATTGCTCTAAAATGTAAATTTTCTATATTTTATTAAAAGTGAACTGATATGCATAAAATTTATGTAATTATTACTAATAGAAAAAAAAATTTTTGGAAGGAAAATACAGTGGGTGATCAGTTAACGAACAGTTCGGAAAGCGAACAAATTGGATAACGAACACTTTCATGAAAGATTTTTATGATTGGACAACAAACATATGTTCAGATAATGAACACTTTACTGAACAAACATAAAATAAAAAGAAACAACGGAAAATAACGAATACTGATTTGATTTTCCTTGTCTTCAGGTAACAATTCAAAACCTTTCGGAGCGCAGGAGACATCAACATTGACGCTCAACCCGATACTGATCGGATAGTATAATATTTTTCCAAATTTTGAAACTCTCCCTTGTAATTCCAGCTTTTTGTTTACCGTTCTGACAATTTCTTTATAGTATTTGCGAGACTGTCGGATGGGCACTTGTTAAGTTTTGTGTCGGGGTTATTTACAAAAGATGAAAGTTTAACTATCCCATCGGATATTCATTAAAATTTTAATACCAAATTTCGAATTTCATCTGGGCCTTGCATGTAAATAATTTTTTGTGGGATAGTTGATTTTTGTTCTCTGAATTTTTGTAAGTGCTTTTCTGAACTTTTTATTTAAAAAATAAACTGATAATATGGAACCTAAAAGGAGGAGTGTTCAAGAACTTTGCTCACCATAGAAACCAAGTAAGAGATAATAGCCAAGGTAGAAAGTGGGCACAAGATGTCTGATGTTGCTAGGCAGTATGGCTTGAACAGGTCTACAGTGGCACAATCTTAGCTATGAAAGATATATCAAGAAGTCTCAAACTGCTAATGGAGTAATGAAAATCACATCTGAGAAATGAAGAGCATTTTAGAGCTCCACATTAGAAACTGATCTGACGACAAAACTCCAAGAACTCTCAAATGAAGAATACCAAGAAACTCAGCAAGATGTGTTTTCTTTTGAAAAAGAGGAAGACGAAAGAGGACCAATGTCGAAATCTGCTACTAAAGATCTATTGAAGAAGTGGGAGGATGTCAGAACAACGATCATCCAAGTGGCATCCAAACCAGAATAAGGTTAATGGGGTTGGGGATCTCTACAATTACAATACTATTAATTACTTCTGAAAAATCCTGAAGAAAAGAGAAAAGCAATCGACATTGGACAGATTCTTTAACCCCCACAAATGGAAAAACATGACTAATAAAAATGCAAGACTGCATATATATATATGTATTTTTACTATTACATATGAATGAACGTAGTAAGGTATATATTTTTTATTTTTTGGAGTCTTCAGAAAGAATTAATCAAATTAGGTATATAACATAAAAATACACTTAAACATAACAATTGATTTTACTTTGTATATAACTAAGATATATTGTCTGTAGCATTAAATACATTGCTACATAACATTAAATAGTAAAACAAAAGAATTATGTAAAAAGATTACTGTCTTTTTCCAAACTGGAAAAGCAAATGCAAATGAAATAATGCAAGATACAGTAGACAAAAGTTCTTTTTTCAAGAAGTAGGTCTAATAATTTAAAAAAAATTAAATCATTTTTATTAAGAAGAAATAATAAACAAAAATGAATTAAAATGACAATAATTACAAATATATAACGAAAAATACATTAAAATTTAACAGAAAAATTAATATATAGCTGTAGTTAAATATTTAGTATCATGAAGTACTGTATATTCCTGTTATTATTTACAAATATACTTTTATTGAACTACAAATTTAGAATTTATTATTAATTTGAAAATTTAATTTTTCAAATTAAATTATAAAATTAAAATATTTTAATGAATATGATCATATTAAAATATAAAATTTTGATTATAGATAAAATGTAATTGAATTTTTAAAGTGAGAGTCAATAAATTTAGTTCTGAATATGAAGCATGAGCAGACTATAAGATCTAAATTTCAAATCACAAAAAAAAAATTTATTTCTAAAGTAATAATAGTTTGCATTAATTTTAATAAAATTTATTATAATTAAATTCTTTAAGATTAAAATTATAATTGTGTTGAAGTTAATATAAATATTTTAATGAATTTTTTATAGGATGCCAGAGTTTTTGGTTTTGAACAGAGAATTCCAGGAAATAAAGGAAAACGTACCTATTTAGTTACACACCCAAAACATTTATGGCAAATTCATAAGTAAGAAAGACAATATTTCACTTTGTTTTTGTGATACAATAGACAACTTGCATGTGATGTATTAAAGACCCGGATGTNAAAAAAACCTCTTGCCTTCTTATCCTACGTTAGTAAATTGAAACTAAAACCTTAAATTTAAATGTTGTTAGTATGACAAGAGGAAAAAACAAACGAAAAAAACCTCTTGCCTTCTTATCCTACGTTAGTAAATTGAAACTAAAACCTTAAATTTAAATGTTGTTAGTATGACAAGAGGAAAAAACAAACGAAAAAAACCTCTTGCCTTCTTACCCTAGGTTAGTAATATCCTTCAGAAATAGCAAAGGAAAAAGTCGTTCGCATCTCTTACGAAGCGACGCTTTTTCCTTTGCATCTTTGCCCACACTGAACGAGAGGATCCCACTCGTTGGAAAAGGGAGGAATGATCGAAACATTCCTCCCCTCCCAGTGCGGCAAAAATGATGTCGTCAACATGGAGACATTTCACTTTTCGGAACACGTCCGAATGGCGAAATGTCTCCTCTCCGTTCAACGAGGAACAGAGAATGCTGTCGACATCCGCTATTCCTGAAGGCGATCCCGTGAAGAAAGAACCCCTTCCGCGATCGATGGAAGAGAGTTCCTCTCCCCGCTCAAAGGGGGAAAAGACCCTCTCTTCATCGATTGAGGACGTCCTTCACACTTCTTCATCTTCTTGGGTCGCAGCCACCGCCAAAACCGCCAGCTCTTCATTCTGTAAAGAAACAATATACTGTATATATATATATATATATGTATATATACAGTACTTTGTCATGTCTAATAATTTAATTTTCAGCAAAATTAAACAGTTCATCTAATATAGTGTAATTTTTGCAGTACCTCTTTGTAAAGAAAATGTTTCATTTTTATATTAATTTTATATTGTAAACTATTATTAATTAATTGCAATTCAGTCACTTAAATCCACTAAACATATAAATATTTTATTTCTCTTATTAAAATTTACATCTAACGGCAGAGCTAATGACACCAAGTAATCGGAAATATTATAATAATTTAAATAAATTATTCTTTAAAAAATTATAGGTCGTTTAAGTTATGCTATATTGTAAGATCAGTCCTTTATCTTCGTAAAATTGTAAAATATCTGTAAGATGACTTTTACAGTTCAAACATGGCGGTTATAAACACCTTTAGGTTGGTCGCGTGACGTGAAAAATGACGTGACATCTGCAGCCAATTACCGTGATGAATCGTTCCTACTTCTAAGAGCATGTCATCGTTAAACTTAAACTTTGTATGAAAACAAAACAGGAAGTAACTCGTTTAATAATTTTGTTGGAAATGAATAAAGAGAATGAATTTGTTACTTGCAGTACGATAAAAAAACTAAAGTTTTATGGAAGGCAGAATTTAAAAGTTAAGAAATTGTATGTATAAACATGTTATCAGTTACGTTCAAGTAAATGATTTTATTTAGTAAAAGAAAATTTATAGTTAATGTTTGGTATTTAAAATTAAAATTGATTATTTTGTATTTTGAAGATTAGAAAAACGTCTTAAGCTGATGGAAAAATGTCCTTTGCCAGACGATTTTAAATCAACGTAAGAATTATGAATGTTTCTCTAATTATGTTATATTTAATTCTATACATAATATGCTTTATAGTTTACAATATGTAACCTATTCGATTTAATAATTTATTCAAAATTAAAATAATTTATTAATAACACATCCTGCTAAACTCAAAATAACTGAAAGAAAACGAAAAATAAATTTATATATAATTTGTTATTTTTGTGAATCAGAGATACTATATTTTTATTTTTGTTGTTCTCTAATCATATACTATTAGGATTGAGTATGGTGATACCTCGGTTTTCGTCGATGATTCGTCTGAAATCCGAAACTGATGAAAACCGAGGCAATTATTTCCATTAGAATTAATGTAAATCCAATTAATTCATTCTAGACATTCCAAAATACATACCAAAAACACATTTTATAGAGAATAAATGTAGTGTTTAATACTAAAAACAATATGAAAGCAGCCGATTTTGGCAATCTTAATTTTGCTCTTGTATTTTACAATGATTTTTTTCTTCAACTTTGATTGTGTTCCTTGCTGTCTTCTTCAAAGGGTTGCTGGCTTTGGAAACTTTCTTTGGTCCTACGATGGAGCAAAAAGGAAAGGAAAGCAATGGAATTGTTTGGCTAGAGGTGAGGGAGTAATAATGCTCATACAATGAGGAACAATGCCACACTGAGCAGGAAAACACATGGGTTTGTTTTCACCTTTTGTTTTCACAAAATTAGATCAAGTGGGCATGCCGACAAAATCCGAGGCAGCTGACAAAAACCAAGACAAATTTTTCACAGAAAAAACCGACAATATGATAACCGAGGTATTACTGTATTTCATCCAGAAATTCCAATATCTGAAGATTAATGATGACAAAGTAATTTTATTTACAATCCTATGCATTTTGTTATTGCATAATAACAAAATGCATAGGATTAGTGAATAACACCAATAACCAAATATAACTAAATAAAAATTTCTCTTGCTACCTCATACTATTTTAAGAACAATAAAAACAACACATAAATCATATTTTTATTTTAAATTGATAATTCATCTTAGAGAATTATTAGTGTAGTACATCTGTTAAACAGTGATAACTTTATTTGCTGTCTTTAATTTTTATGCAATATAAATTTTATATTTTACAATAAAATCAATTAAATATTATCAAGAATCAGCTATTAGTAGATTAATTTTTGTAGTTTATATTTTATTATTCTAAAATTGATATTTATCTTTGTACCATATTTCCTGTAATGTTAATTTTAGATCTCCAAAAAAAATAATAATAATTGAATAAAATAATATTTCTCTTATTTCTATATACTTTGTTTATGTATACAGTATTTTACTTTTGGATTTACTAAAACCTATTCTTACACTAAGTACATATTAAACTATGATATAACAGATTAAAAAAGTAATTTAACAATATCAATAAAATGAATGAAAATATAATTTAAATAAGAGATTAAAATATTAGTTTAAATTGTTTGATATAAAAATATTTGCCTATTTGCATATTTTGTTCTTTTCAAGACTTTAGGAATACAACAGTCTTTATTGCAAGTCAACCTTTTATTTGAGGCTATTCATTTGCTTTGATATGCAAAAACATTAAAAAATTCCAAAGTGATAACACAATTATAAAAATATAATTAATTAATAAATACAATGGTGAGGACAATAATGAAATCAGGGGTTACTCTGGAAAATTTAGAAGTATAACCAACCATTTTGCCAGTTTTAATTTTTTTGCCACTTAAAATTATTTATTGCTACCAGTTTTACTTTTTCATTAATGCA